TAAATTACATTCATTCAATATCGCTTACATCAATAAGGAGCGAAATTTCCAAATAAATTTTGAAAATAAATTAAATACAAAATTAAACCAGCTCCAACCAGCTCCAAACCATCTCTGTATATGTAAGTTGGTAAATTTTTAAATGTGAAATTTCAAATATACTGACTGCGTTTTCTATAACCTAATACACTTAGTTCAACAATTTCTGAGTATAGTAATTTCGTTTGAACTTGTTACTTTCTAAAATGTCATTAAATAATAGTCTGAATGAACCGCAGTGCAAACCTGTCATCAGCTAAATTGGTTCATTTACATCCACATCAGCCTCTTTTTAGTTCGCATAAATCAAACGTTCACTTTGCCTGATTTGTTGTAGTCTGCCCCATATAACAATAATATAATAATAATAATTTTGTATAAAACAACGGAGAGTGTTGCAAACTTTGGCATTCAATATAGGAAAATTCATAATTAACTTCGTTACGCCCAAACAATTTTGCTATTAAAATTCTGTGCTGTAAAAAATTTTGTTATAATCTGACTTTGTTATATCGGGGTTCACTGTGTGTAAGCGGTCGCAATTTCCTTAGCGAATATCACTTTCAGCTCATTATTCAAATATTGTTCTTCATCGATGTTTAAACATAAGCCTATTTACCTCTATCATCGGTAAAAGTGTAAACGCTTTCCCGCATCGACAGTAAACGTAATCGATCTTGCCATCGAACTTTGACGCTAGACTTTATTTAGTTCTTTACAAACGCGTCAGCGCATAATAACTTCCCCAGCCTATAATCCATCAGAAAAAAAAATAGACGTAATATTTGACGTTAAATGGCTAGGGTAAACATATTAAAGCATTGTGAATACTTCAAAAACCACTGTTAAGTCATTGTCAATTGATGGTCTTAGCACTTTATAATAAAGGTGAACAGTTATCAATATAATTGTTGAAGGACGTTCAGCAATTGTGACAAAGCATCATTTATTGTCAAAGTTCTCAAAGATAGTTATTAAAATGTACTTCACTTGCTGAGACAGGTGCAGGCAACATGACCACCACCCCAATATTATGTTCTCTATTTTTTGCATGATTTTTTTGTTTGGGAAACCATTCGGCTCAACAACCCAAAACTTTACACAAAAATTTATCAATATCGGTTTTATCTGACTTGTTTGACAAGATTGCCGATTTCTCACATGAAACTTATTGAATGTTGTGTCATGGGAATTTCGCCTTAATAGGAATGACCGACTGTGAATCTAAATGGTGTTTGTGTCTCGCTAGCAATTAAACTTTGCCAATAACAACAAAAAGTATATTAATCTATTAATTTAATTTTCCCATTTACATTCTCTTTCGTAATGCTTCCTTTGGCTTCAGTAGCGGCAGCGACAGTAGCAACAACAGCAGCAGCAGCATACTTGGATGCAAAATATCACATTAGACATGATCTAAAATATCTTACGCTGTATAAAACCTTTGCAAAACATATTTTAACAACGTAATGGGATTAAGTAACATCTAACGTACTGAGTCTGATTATAATGGCACTTTTAATAGAATGAATTTCAATCGTTCGATTAAGGGATTTAATGAGAAGCCTTTAATTACAGTTGAAACAATGCCATCATGACCAGAATTGATCGTACGCGGTATGCTATTTCGTTAACAATCAACCCATGTTAACATTTCTTTTCACTCGACAATTTTAGCTATGATGAATTGGAGAAGGAAGGAAACGCTTCCGCGTACATAATATTCAAGAGAACTGTTGAGCAATGGCCAGATAGAGAAGGATTTGTCTTCGAAGGGAGGTCATGGACGTACGCGCAGGCTGAACGACAAGTAGATAAATTGGTAAGGGAGAAAATGAAATTCTAGGCATTAGACCAAGCAAAACAATATGACATAGAGTTATTACGATAATATCACATGTATTTACATTGTTCTCTCTTCTTTTTTACAATGAAGGCATCATGGTTACGTACGCAGAATCTACAAACCAAGGGTACAACTTTTTTGATCAAATACACTATTGACTACATGAATGACTTG